TCTATATCCAGTATAGACATAGGAATACACTTCTTTCTATATGTTGTAAGGGATGGTAGAGACCGATTAATGAGTAAATTAATATTTTGGAATTGTTGAATTCTGGATCTAAGAGGTATCTGCTGATAGGACTTTGATGCCAAATATTTATTGTATTGCCCCAATCTTTAAAAAGATAAGAATATCTTCTCCCATGTTTGCGGTGCCTATATTGTAGACAATGATTACATATACATATACATTATGATAAACACAAGTGGGGAAATGTTGATTTTAGGATGCTGAAAATGTACAATTCAAATTTCCCTTCAGCCGTAACTCCTGCTCGAAGTCAGCCCGATTCTTGATTTTTTGAGTTTAATGACCAACTGGGACAGACGTGGACTGTACCATCCTTGTCAGGGGAGGGGGTCTTATTTCGCCCCACCCTTTGACAGATGAGAGATTCTGCTCCCTCGGTTGCGGGCCTTTATTGTAGATAGGGTTTACATACATATAATTAACACTGGGCCTATTAATATTCGAGGGAGTGTATGTAACGACTGCGTGGAGAATATTTCGGTTTTAGGATGCTGAAAAACTACTTTTTAGAGCACTTGAAAGCTTATTTTGATGCAAAGTAACTTTCTGCTCTTTTTCCTTGCGAGGAGGGAGACAAATGCTGAAATCAATTTTGTCCCCAACTTAAATAACGCAGGGACATTATGCCCCTCTGCCCTTCCCCAAACTTCCGGCGCTTATAGTACCTTCCTTTATCTTAATTGTATGAGTAAATCTTGTCACGCCTTAGCCAAACACAATTATTTTTTGTCAAATGAACCTACTTACCTTAAGCCGTAACTGCTGCTCGAAGTCAGCCTGATTATTGATGTTGTGATTTTGATGACCAACGATCACGCACTTGAGACAGACATGGACCTTACAATCCTCACAAAACATATCTTTGTTCTCTTGTTTGTGGATGCAGCACTTCTCGGATAGATAACCAATATTGATCTTCCCGTTGTTGATATCCTGTATGGATACAATCTCGTGATCTTCATAGACTTTAAGAAATTGATGACAATCCAGACACCGATCACAAATGTAGTTATTACATGTATAACAGAATGAGACGGCATCTTGCTGAAACCTGCAAGCAGTGCATTTTGGACGCATCTCAAGGACAGCGTTCATCCCTCCACACTTGGCGTGGTAATTCTCTACAAGTCCGTTGACAGTCACATTGGTGAGGAAATCATCGACACGGTTCGCAGACAACTTGGTGATCTTCCTGCAGAGAGGACAGATCATGTGATCGAGATCCTGGTGGGAAATTTAAGGTCATAGGTCTTGAGACATTTCCGACAGAAGGTGTGTCCGCATGAAGTCAGGATAGTTGCCTCGTCGAAGATATCAAGACATAGTGGACACGTCAGGTTCTCTGAAGAGCTTGGAGCTTTCTCTTCCTTGTTCTTCTCAGCCATTGGTGCAAATATAAGATTTTTGGCTTATTACAAAAACGAGCTCATTCTACGCATATATCCAATGTCCAATACAGCTTAAAAGTGTGATCAGCTAATGTGTACTTAAAGCCAACAGTCAGTTCATGCAAGCACAAACTATATGCAGTGACGTAGTCACGTAGTAGATTGTATCAAAGAAATATCTCTTTGATTGTACCAATATCCTGAGTCTATATAACAAGTGAGTCCTATAACTGCATGTAGTTCTATATTAATTTTTCACGTTGATTACAATTGTGTCGAAAGAGGTGCGGATAACGTTGATCAAAACTACCGAGTCTCTATTCAAGTGTATACATCAATACAAATGTGATTACAATACTAAACTCGCACTTCATAGATCGTCTGTGAAAATAATACATTTTGTGCATGTTATGAATAGAAGAGGGTTTTCCCACAGAGAGCTCACGCAGCGTTAAAGCACCTTTGAACTTTCGGCGGTATTCATCAATTTAACGTAGAGGGCAACTTTTTTAGTTTTAATTGTGGATATATTGTGTTGGTCGGAGATCCACTTTAGTAGAAACCTAGGTAATAGAGCAACACATTTTTTTTTGCTTTTATCACTTTGTTTTGAAGGGTACACGACGATAATCACACTTATATGTCACCCTTTCGTTCTCCACTATTCTTCCTTTATCTCCTTCCATTTCTCTCATTCTCTTTCCTTTTCATTGTCAAAATTTCTCTTAATTTGTTTTAACTCATGGAATCCTACGAGGTTATTTTTATTTCAATGCAAAATTCGCCTTAAAATATATTTCACCACTTCCTTTCTTTTAAAAAAGATCTCATGATTTAGGCTTTTTACCATGATAATGTGAATCACGTTTGTCTGAAGAGCTGATAATGGAAAAAAAAAAACTATATCAAATACAATGTGTAGGCCCGATTATTGCACGGAAATATGATTCATTTGAAATAATAATGTAATAAGGTAATCGTAAGAGTTAAGTTTGTGAAACTGCATTTTGAGAGGACAGGACTTGCAGAGAGGACAGCTTAATGTGATCAAGATCCTGGTGAGACAGGTCATAGTTCTTGAGATAAGGAGTTGGAGAGGAGGAGGAAAGGAAGGGGGAGAGTTTTGGGGTAGATTTTGTTTTAGTATAAGAAAAAGTACTAATAATATGTTGAAATGTTGAAATATGAAACTCGATTTTGTTTATAAAAGTATCCAGTCTTATTCTGAAAAAAGCATTGCTTGTTCCAGTTTCGGGGATGAAATAACTGTGAAGTGCGATAATGTTTTCTTATTATTTAATTGCGATATATTTTAGTCATATACTTTGTAAAATTATGATTCATGTATTATGTTGTATTCATGTTCGTTTATCCCATGACAAAAAAGCTTCGATATAATGTTTCAGCTTGTGTATTCTTTGCTTCTATGTTATTTACGAAAAATGAATAGTAGTTTTCAGATATATATTCAATGAATACAAAACCTTTGAACTTGATGGTAGTATTCAGTCATATAGGGCGACTAATATCGGCTTTGGGTGCAGTCCACTGCCTGGACTATTCCCTTGTCGCGCGCCCAATCAGCTTAGAAAATAAGACACCCTCAACGCTAAAACGGAGACAGCCATTGCCTTCCATTCCGGTACCTTTGGGATTTGACGACTGGTGTATCTTAGGAAGTTAGGGGTTTGCGCTATCTGTGTGGGTTGTGTTAAAGGTAGGAGGACATAGATGATCCAAAAATACACAATTGTATAGAACGGACAGAATCTGTACTACTTTGAGTGTGGAATTATGTTCCAGATCCACTTTAATAATCCTTGGTAACAGAGCGTTTGTTTTCATGACTACAATTATTTGGAAGGGTAAAGGACGGTAACTTGTATTACATCCCTTTCTTTTTCCATTATTCTTTCCGGCCTATCTATTTCTCTCTTTCTTTTACTCTTTCTCTGTCAACAATTTCGTTTAACATTTGCCTGAAATAAAAATATTTTACCACTTCCTCTCATTAAAAACCTCATGATTTAGGCGTATAACCCTGATATGTGAATTACGTCTCTGTCTCAACAGCTGATAATGTCAAAAATAGATCAAATTGAATATGTTACTATACCCCATATTAAACGGAAATATGATTTATTTAGAATAATCATGCATAGACTCTATAGCATAGGACCATGAAATAAAGATATGATTTTCTCTCATCACAATTCTGTCGGATATATGCTTCTATCATTAATTTTGTTTGTCTCGCTCTCTCTCTCTCTCTCTCTCTGTCACTCTTTCTCTCATTCTCTCTCTCTCTCTCTCTCTCTCTTTCTCTCTAACACTCAAACACAAGGATACACACTCGATCTCGTGCTTTCAATCTCTTTTTTTCTCACACACTCTCTCTCTCTCTCTCTGTCTACGTATCCTCTATCTCTGCCCCTATGTCTGTCTGTTCGTCTCACTATCTCTCTCTCTCCCACTCCCTCTTTCTTTCTCTCCATTTCTCCATCTCCCCTATAAACAAATGAATATTTCCAAAGACTTTGATATATGCAATGCCTTCAAAAAAAATTTTTTTACCTCAGTAACACTGAAAAAAATTCAGAAAAACGTTTTTATAATCTGAAAAATAGGCTGCTCTTGTTATTTTTAATCTGGTTACGCATGTAGTAATAACAAAAGAATACCATTTTTTTTTGCAGGTGGCAATATCGGCGAGTACAATCATCTGACACAAATATCCAGTGTCAATCAACAATACCATGTACTTACAACAACAAAATGTACATGTAATGTATGCTCTCTTTCCTTTATATTTCTAATTTTTAAAAAAGACAACAATTTAGAGGAAAATGTTTTAAAGGTACTTTACAAAACTGTGTACAAAACATTATATGTAGAGGCCAGAAGTCTTTCCCAAAATAGTCATAAGAATTGACTAAACAAAGTAAAAACTTAGACCATCCATGCTATTCTCGAAAAAACGCCAGTCTGGAGAATGCCCCCGGAGTTGGTCCCAAGAGCCCTCGAAAAGGGAATGCAAGTCGATCACCTTGGGTCATCGCATCTATACCCATGCACCAAACTTCGTCAGGAGTAAGTTGTAGGTATTATGACACAAAAACTGAAACAAAATCTTAGGTCGGGATGGGTTTTCAGACGAAAGACCTATTAACTGCATGACTATACGTCACCCAAAACATAAAATGATATAATTTTCCATCGAGATGCGCCTACTAAAAAAGACCCCCTCCCCTATAAAAATAAAATAATAATAAAAGACCAAAAAAAATGTGAGAACGAAAATTGTCTGCGATGTCATAATCACATTCATCCAAACATTTTGTTCTGATATGTCATTTTCTAACGATGAGAAAAAAATAAATTATTAAAATGACGTTTATTCCAGATTTATCACTGGGTATGCCAAGCATGTCTACCAGCATGACCAAAGGGAAGTTTAATATCCTCATCATTTCTACAATTTCACATATAATAATCACAATCCTATCTTGCCTTATTCCAAATTCCACGTCACTAATCGACGGTCTGTATAGATTTAATTGAATTAAAACGAATTAAACTAAACAGAATTGGATTTAAGAGGTAATTATTATAAAAAGAAAAACTGCCGAATTCACATAAAATATGCAAAGTTGCATTGCCAATTATAACAGAAATGCAGTAAACGTTTAAATAATAATAATAATAATAATAATAATAATCTTTTAAAGTCCACTCCAAATTTCATTAAGTTAAACCGAAAATGGAAATTCTTTTTGCCCAATTAAGATGTTTAGTCAAGGAACAAAACTTCCGACTGTTAACCGAGGCCTATTTTTTTCCAAACCACAATGTTCTTCTCTACATCATAACGAACAAATCCGTCACATTATCACTTCCCAGAGCTTTCAATTTAATGGATTTTTAGACAGGTTGCAAATTGAATACGTAGGAATTTTTTCAGGGAACATAGCAATTTGATTTGATGTATTTAACAGGCAGGTTCAATGTAACATTTATACGAAGAGTAAAATGATATTTAAAAATGACAACATGATAATAATACATTGATAACTTGACGGGATAACCCGTGAAAGCTGAAAAGCTTATTTACATTGAGGTCCTATTTAGTGTCATTTTTAATTATTTTATCATTTTAATCACCACAATAGTCAAGAAATATAAGCACGAAAATTAAAAACAAATATTTGAGAATAACAACATGAGGGCAATGACACTAATAACAAGTTAATCAATATCTTACCAATTTTCAAGTTGTTTATTATGTTAGCATGTTACTGGCTTTCAGTAAATATCTAGGAGAAACGATTACACAATTTACATACTATTTCTAAAGAGGGAAGTTATGATTATATAGGATATTGGCAACGGTATTCAGGCAATTAACATCTATCGAGAGGATAGGCATCTTCTCATTCGGTTGGTTAACACATAACAAACAATATAATTATGACACTTGATAGGCCCTTATTACAGTGGAGCTGGAGGAAAGAGGTATACAATGATGGTATATAGTGTGACACGGATTACAGTGTTACTTTGATAAAATACAACTTATCGTAACAAGAAAACGCGAGCATGTCTGGAGAGAGGGAAACCAAGTAACACAAACGAAAACCAAGCGTCAGATTAAGTACATTGAACTCAACTCTCTCCTTCAGGTTCAAACCATCAAGGTCATAGAGCCTGATCACCACGTGATCATTCTCACAATCAACACTCGCTATATACACCCTGTCCTGCTCATCCACGGCGGCATACAAGTAGACACCGCTTGGAGCTTGTAGAGACTTACCAGCTTTCCCATCCCTGTCATAGACCGTCAACACGCTTGGATTAGTGTCACATGAACTCGTGACAATCAAACCCGACCTGGTGGCAGATACCTGGCTCGTCTTGTTGTGTTTTGTTGGAACAGTGTGTTTGAGAGTGGATCCCGTCAGGTCATAGATGTAGACTTGATTATCATAGTTAGCGATGAGGATTTCATCTGATGGACTTCTGTTTAGTTGGAGATCGTTTTCATTATTATTCACGTGGATAGATGATTTCCTGGATCCATTGGGAGAATATATGTGTGCTTCTTTACTATCCCTCGATACGCATAACGACCTGTCTTGTTGAAACACAAGAGCAGTAAACTTCATGTTACTTGGTATGTTTGCATACTGGTGCTTTTTACCAGCTGAATCAATGATATCTATACCATGTGAACGATAATATCCGATAGCCACACTATCATCAGAGTACTGGGTCATTCCCCACATGAATCCCAGTAGATCTACACACTGAATGACTTGCAACTTGGGATCTGATTCTGAGATGCTCCCGAGGTCAAGATGAGTATCATCTGCAGGCTTGAACCTCTTCTCCTGAGCTTTCTTCGTAATGGCTGCCGCAGAAGTGTGATCACTAGCCTTCTTCAGCATGGCATCCAGCTCCTCACAGAGCAAGGTATGAGCAGACAGATTGTCTGTCTCAAGACGACCCAGTCTGTCATTAGCTACCAGTGTTATTGAACTACAAATACTCTTGATCCTCTGTCGATTGTTGAATTTCAAGACATTGAGGTTGTCGTCGAAACTGCGCTTTAATGCATTGATTTGCTCTATGAGATTTCGATGATTTTCTTCAAGCTCTTTGGCCTTGATGCTGTAGGCTTGACTGACATCGTCCAGTAGTTTCTGCACGGCAACGTATACTTCATGGCGTTGTACTTCCACATTCTGAATGTTCTTCTCCAGTTCCGTCTTCTTAGCGGCACATCGCTGGACAAGGTCATTCACCTAAACAAAACAAATAATAGAGAAGTGAAAAAAACATTTTCTATATAGAATGAGATGTATGCAAATTACATGGAGCTGGTTTGAAAATGAAACACCGATTTTGCACGCGCCTGAAGTTTCACTAAAGTTAGAACCACTCTTTTCAAGGCTTCACTTTTAGGGGGCATCGTAACCATTTATTTTGTTTTCTTTTTTATATTACATGCTTATATATTTGATTTTAAATGGTTAAAAAATGAACTGAATTTAAGATGATACCATGTATGGAGGAGGGGGGGGGGGGGGCAAACACTCTCGATTTTTAAGGATTTTAGACTAATGTATAGCTATGAAATGTAGCTACGCTTACTACCTTCAAAAGCCCCCCTCCCCCTCCTTTCTTGATATTTATAAAAGAGAACAAGACTTTGCATTCCTCTTTTTGATTGTAGTATTGGATTGGAATGTAGCTTCTTAAAATAAGCAGATGTTTTAAAACACAGAAACAGATTTAAGATATTTGAAAATTGAAGCATATTTAAAATTATTATTTTAAGAATGACATAGCATACCTCATATACAAGTGTTTCTATGATATCAAGGATTATATAGCTCGACAGAAAGTTTACTATTACGCGGGGGAGTGTAGCGACCGAGCGAAATTATTTGCTTCTGCGAAATTTAAAAGTTCAAATATAGTTTGAAACACCACGGCAAATCCCAGCCTGCTTCAAAATAATGATTTTGCATATAATTATGTGAGCAACAGAAAGAGCTTCATGTCTTCTAAGAGGGGGTGGCAAAAGTGTCGCCCTACCCACTTAACTAGAGAGAAGCATCGATCTTCACTCTCTATCCGCTTCAAGACTACTATATATATAGGAGACAGGGTTTGTACAATGATAAGAAACATTCCAACTATTAAAATGCAAGGAAGACCAGTGACCGAGAGGAAAAAGAGAGTGTTTTGGAAAGTTATAACCGTATTTTAGACCACTTAATTGCTTTTCTAATCTGCAATATCATCACATGTAATTGTGCTATTGTCTTGCGAGCCGGGCGGGGCCTTTGCCTTCTCCCCCTTTATAGAGGAAAGCTCTACCCGAATACTTGGGGCCTTGGGTATTAAAGCGCTTTTGTATTTTATAGCTAAAGAAGACTATATACCGTTATACATGCAAGTTAGGAACTACATTGAGGATTTCAACATGGTTTACTGAAAACGTGAACATTGAGCTCATTGCATGTTGCATTTTTGCATCTTTACAGAAATATTTAAAGCTAATCGATACACGGCTAAATTGTGGCTTGTAAAGGGGGGAAATAATTTATAATTTAGCCGCCACCTTGACAGAAAGAAAAAAAATCATCAGCCTCCTCGCTTTTATGTTTTGGAAGAAAGGGTACATTTATTATGCGAGGGTGTGTAGCAATCGAGAGGGAATTTTAGAATATGGAATAGTGACACTTTGTTTTTTGTTGAATCTCTTTTTTGTTGTTGCTTATGCTGCAAAATTATTGATGTCAAAAGATTTTGTCTGGCAAGGGAGGCGGGAAAAGCAAATCCTCCTTTGTTTGTAAAGATATTTGGCCTTGTGAAGGAGTGGATGCAGAAACAATTTGGCTCCACCCCCCGATAGAGGAAATAATATGCCCCTATAGTTTTTGCTTTTGTAAGGGATGGTAGCGACCGATAAATTAGTAAATTTAGGTTTGGAAATTGATGAATTCTGGATCTTAGATCTTAGAGAACTTATCTGCTGATAGGGCTTTGCTGCCAAACATTTATTGTCAAAAGAGGGGAGGGGGGGGGGGACTCACTTTTCCCCAACCTCTTAGAAGATAAGAATATCTTCTCCCATGTTTGCGGTGCCTATATTGTAGACAACGTTTACATATACATGTAGGCTATATGATAAACACGAGTGGTAAAACGTTGATTTTAGGATGCTGAAAATGTACAATTCAGATTTCAGAGTACTTGTTATCTCGTTATAATGCAAAGGAATTACATACATATATATATATTTTTTTCCTTGCGAAGCGAACAACCCCCACGTGATTATTGAACCATGCAGTTCCCTCGACCAGTCCCCTCCCCGCTTCTGGTGCCTATGGTACCTTTCTCTATCTGAATTGTATGAGTAAATCTTGTCAGGCCTTAGCCAAACGCAATTATTTTTTGTCAAATGAACCCACTAATTACCTTAAGCCGTAACTGCTGCTCGAAGTCAGCCTGATTCTTGATCTTGTGATTTTGATGACCGACGATCACACACTTGAGACAGACATGGACCTTACAATCCTCGCAAAACATATCTTTGTTCTCTTGTCTGTGGATGCAGCACTTCTCGGATAGATGACCAATACTGACCTTCCCGTTGTTGATATCCTGTATGGATACAATCTCGTGATCTTCATAGACTTTAAGAAATTGATGACAATCCAGACACCTATCACAAATGTAGTTATTACATGTACAGCAGAATGAGACGGCATCTTGCTGAAACTTGCAAGCAGTGCATTTTGGACGCATCTCAAGGACAGCGTTCATCCCTCCACACTGCGCGTGGTAATTGTCTACAAGTCCGTTGACAGTCACATTGGTGAGGAAATCATCGACACGATTAGCTGACAACTTGGTGATCTTCCTGCAGAGAGGACAGAGCATGTGATCGAGATCCTGGTGGGAAAGGTCATAGTTCTTGAGACATTTCCGACAGAAGGTGTGCCCGCATGAAGTCAGGATGGTTGCCTCGTCGAAGATATCAAGACATAGTGGACACGTCAGGTTCTCTGAAGAGCTTGGAGCTTTCTCTTCCTTGGTCTTCTCAGCCATTGGAGCGAATATAAGATTTTTGGCTTATTACAAAAACGAGCTCATTCTACGCATATATCCAATGTCCAATGCAGCTTAAAGTGTGATCAGCTAATGTGTACTTAAAGCCAACAGTCAGTTCATGCAAGCACAAACTATATGCAGTGACGTAGTCACGTAGTAGATTGTACCAAAGAAATATCTCTTTGATTGTACCAACATCCTGAGTCTATATAACAAGTGAGTCCTATACTGCATGTAGTTCTATATTAATTTTTCACGTTGATTACAATTGTGTCGAAAGAGGTGCGGATAACGTTGATCAAAACTACCGAGTCTCTATTCAAGTGTATACATCAATACAAATGTGATTACAATACTAAACTCGCACTTCATAGATCGTCTGTGAGAATAATACATTTTGTGCATGTTATAAATAGAAGAGGGTTTTCCCACAGAGAGCGCACGCAGCGTTAAAGCACCTTTGAACTTTCGGCGGTATTCATCAATTTAACGTAGAGGGCAACTTTTTTAGTTTTAATTGTGGATATATTGTGTTGGTCGGAGATCCACTTTAGTAAAAACCTAGGTAATAGAGCAACACATTTTGTTCGCTTTTATCACTTTGTTTTGAAGGGTACACGACGATAATCACACTTATATGTCACCCTTTCGTTCTCCACTATTCTTCCTTTATCTCCTTCCATTTCTCTCATTCTCTTTCCTTTTTATTGTCAACATTTTTCTTAATTTTTTTTAACGTATGGAATCCTACGAGGATACACTTATTTCAATGCAAAACAGCATTGCTGAAGTGATATATCTGTGTGCATCGGTTTTCACTGTTTGTGATTTGCATCAAGATTGATATCAGTGTGTTATCTTTTTAATGATTCCGAAATCTTACAATATGCCTACACAATTTAGCCTAAACAATTACTCCTATATATTCTGCATAATCAACATTTCCCGATAACTTTACAGACAGTTTTCAATCGCTTCTGGACAGTTCCTCTCGTATATATCATGTAGTTAGATTTGTAAAGAGAAACAAATATTGAAATCATTCCTGATGATGTAATCAACAATCATGAAAATGTAGGGGTAATTACCAATGTCTAAAAATTGCATATTTTCGCTTCGAGGTTTCCCTTTTTTGGTGCCCCCTTTTCCAGAAAGGGACCCTTTTTGTTGTTGCCCCCCCCCCCCCTCAGCCGCCCACTTTGGAAGACGCTTCACGCTTTGTACTGGCATTTAACATGTGTTTACGTTATATTTTTACAGTTAAACCAAATTTCTCTCTTTTCTTCATGTGTAACGTATTACTTTCGAATAATAATGGACACATTGGAAGGCCACAGGGATAAATGAGAACAATCTTCTGGTGGCAACGACTTGTCTTTATACTTGATTATATATGTAGTTCGTTTTCGTTTTAATTCTACTTCTACTTCTTCTCTCTTCTTTTTAGCAAGAAAGTGTGCAAATGATTATTACCATACATTCTTTAGCTGGAGCGACTGATGTGTACAGATTGTTTATGTAAACTTGTAAATAGAAAAAAGAAATGAATAATGATGTTGAGCTAATTTTCTTTCCTCCATACTCACAGACTCCAGTTGTTCATTTTTATATTTGTAATGGTGTTACACAAATAACTCACAAACACACTGTTGGTCAAGTGTCAAAAGCTAATCGAGGAATGTTCTCTTTATTTTTAGTGGGGGGGGGGGGGTTAATGTTTTTATGTACTGTACGTTTAGTCACGTATCTATTCTTTTTTGGGGAGGGAGGGGAAGAAAGTTGACCAGTATATCCGACTACAGTGGTCAATTTAAAGAGATAATTGTATGCATTGAAGAAGCATTCAACAAAATCTCTTTTCTTAAAAACCTGTCCTTGACCAACACCGAATTACCTTTCACTCCTTTCTTAAACACTACTTTTTATTTTCGTGATCGTGGACAAGTTGGTAAGAGAGAGAGAGAGAGAGAGAGAGAGAAGGATAGATGAAGTAGAGATGTACTCCTCCTTCCCCCCCCCCCCCCCACATGAGGTAGGTGCATGTAGGTGCAGAAAGAAGATGGATAGAATATGGAGGAGAAAGTACATGTAGATCAGAAAGAGAGAGGAAAGGAAAGAAAAGGTACTTCAGAGTGATGGATTTGAGGGCAAACTAGTCGGAGAGGGACAAGGAGACAAAGAGAGATGGAAGAAAAGTACATGAAGATTGAAGGCAGTATCTCAAAGGAGAAGTCCACCCTGATATTATGTTGGTTTTAATAGAAGCAGAACATGAGAGAAACAGGTTTGGTTTTTCAATATTATTTATTGATTCCGTTCAATGCATAAATCATACATAAACAATATTTATTTTGAATACAACTAACCATGTAACAGAACAAATAAAATAATTGCATGTTTATTTCCGCTACGACAATGCTCATTACCTACATAAACAAGCCACCTTGCAGGCTATATACACTGAGAACTAATTAGAAAAATAAAATATTTATATGAAATCTATTATAACAACCCCACATATACACATAACATACAAAAAACGAAAAAAGAGAGAGAGAAGAAATGAAAGAAAACAGAAATAGGAAAAGAAAGGCAGCTTGTAGCGGCTGGGAAGAAGAGGTCAAACAAGGATAGATCATCAATCTCTGATCCCATGATGATATATTCTAACATGGTGTAAAGATGAAATGTTCACATTTTGTTAATGATGAATATAATTGTAAGAGAAAGACAGGGGCGACAGGGCGTCTTCCAAAGTGTGTGTGTGTGTGTGGGGAGGGGGGCAACAACAAAAAGGGTCACTTTACTAAACTTTACTGAAAGGTATCTATATATCTATCTATCTATTTGAGTATCTTCTCCCGGTTCGAAGGTTGATTGCAACATCTCTCCATTGCACTCTATCTTCTGCCATTCTGGTGCACTCTTGCAGTTTTAGTCCACTCCAGTTCTTGACATTCTCTTCCCAGTTGATTCTGGGATTCTGATCTATATCACTATAAGTAAAATTTTGCTTTAAACAAATTTAAGAAAAGATATAAATCATTAAGCGTCTAAACTAGAGCTGGAAGGGATAGGACTACATTTTACCTTTCATTCCAAGGCCGGCTCTGTCCAAGGACGTTAACTGAGTGATGTGGAGGAGTGACATCTAAATCTGTGCCGTCTGATCTCAAATTGTTGTCATAAAATGGGACCTTTTTTATCCCCAAACACGCAGCGCCCCCCCCCCCCCCCCCACACACACACACTTTCAAAAATAATCGTAATTTTGTTTTATTCCTCCAAATGTGTAATACAAACATACAATCGAATAAAATAAAAAACGTTTTCAATATTGATTGCTTATACATAAACATAATTAAACAAAAACTCATTTGCACTATAGATAACTGAGCAAAAATTGAAAGTAAACTTAAAGTACATAAACATAATTTATAAGTCAATTGTACATATTATTCATTATATAAAAAAATATTTTCAAAAATGGAGGTTATTTTACTGGTACGGCCAGCTCCCCCTCCCTCACACAAACACACACACACACACACACGCACTACTCACTCAGTGGATGTCTGCTATTAAACATTCTCAACTCAAGAAAAAAAAAATGTAATAATTAAGTTTTTAACCAGGCCGCAAAATAGAGTTACACAACAAGCCCACGGTGGAGAGGAAAACTAATCTTGATTAATACTAAGCTGCTCCCACTTTAAAAAATGTAATCCCAGCTTTCCCATTCTAATAGCTTTTTTCTTTTCCTCATCCCTATAATTAAAAATAGTTTTCTTCATCTTTACTAAAGTTGGTGCTTGCCCCCCTCCCCCGATCTTGACATAAATATAACATACTTCACCTCACACAAACAGGCACACACACACACACACACACGCACACACACACACACACACACGCACTATTCACAATGGTCTGGCCCTGGCCTTGCAGACACACACCCACACACACACAGCACCTTCAATGCTTTTGGTAGGACTTCTAGTTGAGGTTTGAGTAAAGATGATCTATCTCCTCTTTGAATTTGGCTTTGATGGCGGCTCGTTTATTCTTGAAGGTTGGTGTGAGAAGTCCATTCTCTACGGAGAAGGGCTCGGGATGAAGGATGTATTCTTTCACCTGTAAATACAATCAATCGAGATAACATCAATCGAGATGCAATCAATCAAGACGCAATCAATGGACGGATACAATCAACAAAGATGAAACCAATCAATTAAGATTCAATCAACTGAAATGCAATAAAACGAGATGCACTCAATCTAGATGCACTCAATCTAGATGCAACCAATCTAGATGCAATCAATCAATCAAGTTGCAATCAACTTAGATGCCATTTATCGAGATGCGGAGGTATCTCTTTGTGAAGTTAACAATCCAAACTTTGTTTTCTTTTGTTTGTGAGTTACTAAATATTTGGGGCCCTTCAATGTTTTAAAAAGTCCCCTTCTGTAGTCATTAGATTATACAATACGTTTTGAATTGTTGGAATAGCATATACATGACATTCAAATTGCTCATCAAAATGATTTCATGTGTTAGGTCTACATCAAAATTTTGCTATATTTTGTGATTTAGGCTGAAGCCTTCAGATCACTGTCTATATGTTCATGAGTGGTTAAAAGAAATTGTGGATCCTTAATTACTTTTATTCAAGCTTCCATTTTCCCCTAAAATTCCTGCAATTGAAGAAATTTTCTTAAATTGAATTTCAAGGTCAATAAACAGTCTGTAAATGCGCATGGTTAACCATAGAAGGGATCGGCGAAAAGTTCATAGGAATTTTCATAATAATGATTCAGGATGAGTGTTCACCTTCTCGAAGCCACAAAGATTTGCAGCAACGCATTGTTTATCGACATCCTCCCGAATAGCCATTCGTACCGTCTGT